TGTCCTCCACCGTTCAACTATTTTACAGACTTTCAAAATCTATGTTTGTATTAAACAGAAAATGAATCGCCCATGTGCAAAGTGAAGTTGTAGAGCACAGACTGTCAATGTTACTGTAAATATGGCACCAATACTGTAATTACTGTGTACAGTCACATCCCTGCGGTTGCACAGTCAGTGGTTAGTAGAAACAGAACCTATGCCTTAATATTTCATGAAGAAACCTTACTGTGTTTCCATGTATTAAGAAATGCTAAAAAAAATGCAGTTAAATAGCCTGCATTTAATCAAGAGTTTAATTTCACCTCCTAGAAGATCTTTATACTTCATGATGAATTACAATTGATACACATACATTTTTTTTATTTTAATACTTACAAATATACTTTTAAAAGATTCAGACAGCATAGAGCAAAAAGGAACTTAAATGAACACCACACATTTTGCACTTTTCTAAGCAGTTACTTTCTATAATATAGTTGCACACACCTATTTTTCTTTACAAAAATAATTTAAGATCCAAATAAAATACATAAAATGAAATGATTTCCGTAGTAAATTATTTAGAGTCAGTTCTATGTTCCATGATACATATCAAAATGGAAAGGCATCATTACAAAAATGTTATTTTTCTTGCATCTCCAACTTGATTTAATTAATTAGATGATTTATTAAAGCCTCTTATTTTAAGCAACATACATAAAATACTAAACATATTTTTACACTAAAGGAGTACAGAAAATGGTGACATTTTTGCCTAACAATTTTGCAAACATTTTTCATCTAAAATACACAAGTCTCTTATAGTGTTCAAAATATCAGCACTTCAGAACAGACTGCTTTAACATCTGCACATCACCAGGGTTTCCCCCAAGGATTTTTAAATGATGCCTGCCTGTGCTGAATAAAGTGCTAACTTGCACCTTGCATTTCAAACTGTGTCCTGAGCAGCCATCCAGTTGGTACAACACCAGCTGAATTCCCAGAGGCCGCTGTTCAATCAGGCTTGACTGCAATTATCATGTCAATATTTTGTGCTCCGATATGCAGATATGCACACATGCAAACTGCATAATACCTTCTTCTCCATGGAATGTTGACTTATGTTCAATGTTCTGAGAATTTTTAATGAAACAGGATATTAAACTTTCATTAACTGTAGAAAATCACAATTATTTGACCTTAGACAGTAAGGTTGTACTCTTATACTCTATTATTCTGTCCACTTTATGGAGTGATAATAACTGGGGAGTCCGTTTTACTTTAAATTCAGAGTAACAAAATGGTAATGGCCTTTAAAAATGTCTTGAATCTTGTTTACTTCCTTGTCTTACTGTCATTCTGTTTCCTGTTAATTTGCAGAAGAGTAAAACAGTGGTTTCAGAAAGCTTCTGCACGATATTTATCAGCCCTTTAAAAGATGCAAGATACAGATTTTTAATTATTTTTCAATTAACATAGGCAATCTATATTGCTCATTCACACAGCACATTCACTTATCCTTTTATATAAAAAGTACTTACCATTTTCAGTACATCTGCATATTGTCAGTCAGTGAAGAATCTATGTCAACCTGTTTAATGTTTCTTCCACAATTTGCTATTCCCAGAATGCTGTAAATCACAGCATAAACTCCTGCAAGTACCTTGCCAAAAATTCTTTAGTTATTTATGATCTCTTGCTTTTCAGCCATATTTTTGTCCATTTGCGCACCTTTAGATAGATGTAACTCCCCAGGAAGAACAACAACAAAACTCTCAATCACTAGAACTAACATTCAGGTTGCCACTGTTTATGAAATGATAAATCCATTCTTTCTCTTTGTTAAGACCTGTAAGACACAGCAGAGTCGAAATTTAGTTGTGGAAAAACATCTATGTAAGGCAAGCTTGCCAAATGTAAGTATCTGTAAGGGTATCATCTAGCATAATACAATCCCCATGTACATCTACCAATCTTGTATCACTGCCACAGTTTAATCATTAATGGATCCTGCTACATCCCCTTTCCGAAGAAAGGAAAGGAGTCAGGTAGAAGCCCTAGAGGAAAATTAGTCTGTTAACTTGTCAAGATTGCATGTACTATAGGAGTGTCCTAAACCGGAGTTCTGAAGTTTGCAAAAATATTTCAAAACCTTTGATACTCTCATTTGAACCCCAACTCCATTTCAGTTCACACATGCATTTACCTAATAAGAGGTATTTTCTAGTATATTTTTTAAATCATAAAAAAACGACAGTGAACTAGAAATAGTGTGCTCTCTACATAATACTGAGATCAATAGTATTTAAAGTAGCTGGAAAGTATACTAACATGAGTAGTAGTTTTACAATGGCTTGTTTGAAAATACCTGGAGGCTTTTACATATCCCAAAGGCATTTCTCATTTGCACAGTAAAGATGATTTTTTGTTTATATCTGAATATTAAATTGGGAATATAGTTACAGTTATCCAGCAAGAACTGCAAAGACTGCTGAAAAGTATATCATTGATGTATTACAGGAATCAGCAGCACAGCCATAAAAAGGTACAAGCTATGTTTTTACAGTTTTAGGTGAACTTCTATTTTGGGACCATGAAAGCATTTCAAAATATCAGACAAATAATGGCAAGGTACTATTAATTCCCCCCTTAGTCCGCCAAATTATGCTTTTTAGATTTCCCTGATTTGTTTGTAAAAAGATACTATAAGGAAGTGTCTAATGCTATAAACATAAATTAGCTGACTGTACAGCTAATATTGCCCACTCAATTCCTCCTAATATATCTGTTTTTTAATTCATCACACATCTGTGGTGTAAGTTATAAGGTTCCAAATGAACATTTTGTCCTGTATCTTTTTATTTTTGTCACTGTAATCTCATGAAGAAAGCCCGGCTGTCTCTTTCATCAATTTAATGACTGAAATCTACTGGATGATATTGTTTGATTCTTTATATATATGATCTAGGATACACATGTCTATGCTTTCTTCAGTTGTCTGTTTCCATTCTGTATCTGGCTTCTAACCTCAGATAGTGTCTAACAAAGATTTGGTGGGCAATGAAAGTTTCTTGGTTATGGAATTCTTGGTGGAAAGAACACACCGAAAAATGAAGCTGTGCAAACATTGGTGGTATCCATGTCACAGGAAGAAACAACAAAAGGTTTAAATCCATTTCATTCTGTTTCTATCTCAAAATCTCCCCATAGGCCAGGACAAGATGGAAAGTATTATCAACTTGGCTATGATGGGGTCAATGTTATTTCCAATATAGATGAGAAGGGAAAAAAGCCTCCAAGACTTCAGTTGGTTTTTATCAGACTGGAGCATAAATTTTCAAATTCCAGCTCACCTGATACAACCATGTAAAATATACAAAAACTGCAAGAAGCTGCGAGAAGCACAGATCTCCCATGTGACATGCTTCAGGAATCATTGTGCTTGTAACTATTACTTTGTAATCCTATTCTCTTAAAACTTTTAAATCCACATATTTTTCCTAGGTTAACAAAGCCAGAAAATCACTTGTCCTGTAATTTTCTGGACAGTAGCAGTGCTAGGTAGCAGATTCCCTGGAAAGCTTATCAATGTATTAGAACTGAGACAAATTGACATTGGCATAACAACAAAAAAATAATTGCTTACTGCTATAAGGTAGGGAGTAAGACAAAAACTTTTCTGAAAGGATGACAGTGTAAAGAGGTACAGTCATGAAACTGACGCTACTTAGGCAATTATTATGGAAACATAGCTGGGAAAGTTAGGAGAGGATATATGGGGCTGTAATTTGGTTGTGCAGAAGATTCACAGGCAAAGCCTGGCTAGAAACTATTTCTGAAGCAGCAATTAGATTGATCTTAGGAAGAAGAGATGAAGATACACCGGTTAAAGAGAAAAATATTGTTCCATCTGTCAAATCAAAGCAACTCCAAAGTTTTGATTAGTAAAACTCTTATATACTGAATGGGTTTTATCCAAACCTTTTCCAGGATTATCAGGGGTTAACACCTAAAAAGATGCTGTGGAAGCAATTCTTCTCTCTTAACTTCATAATTCGGAGAATTATGAGAAAGGTATGATATAGATGTATAACCTTGAGTTCACAGAAGTGTTCTAAGGCATTACTGTTACTCTAAAATAGGAGAGGACATAAAAAAACTAGACAAGCACCTTAACAAAAGTATGTTGTTAGGCTTTCGTGTACGAGTACCATTCACCACCCTCTATACAAAGTGCAAAGCACATACACAGAATATATCTTTACCTTCATACATAATAGACTATTATTACATACGAGATTTCTGTAGCAAGCCTTCTGATAAGCTGAACACTACATTAAAAGGGTTTCACAAACATTTCCTACCACTGCAAAAAAATTCAGCTCATTATCATGTTTGTGTGCATCAAGGCAGCATCTAAGTTTTTCACTCAGAGGGTGGTTGGCACTGGAACAGGCTCCCCAGGGAAGTGGTCACAGCACCAAGCTTAACAGAGTTCAAGAAGCATTTGGACAACGCTCAGGCACATGGTGTGACTCTTGAGGATATCCTGCACAGGGCCAGGAGCTGGACTCGATGATCCTGATGGGTCCCATCCAAGTCAGCATTTCTGTGATTATCTTTTCTGTTACCATATCTTAGCTTTTCACTTCATTAAGTATTCAGATAAATCTAATTTATATATCTAACTGTTATCCAACAAGTTATGACACTGGAAAATGTAATTTACTTCCTCTTGCTCTTTCAATAGAAAAACAAAATATGCAGTACATTTGTAATTTAAAAATTGTATTCAGCTGCAGCACAAAAATCTCGGTGAGAAGAGATCTTGAAGTATGCTTCAACTGGCACCAAAAAAGGAAACTTGCAATGTATTCTAGGCACTTTTGACAAAATTTAGCAATTGAACTTTTGTAACACATTTTTAAAAACTTTCTCACTTAGAAAAATAAAGAATAAGGTATCAGCAGAAGAAGCTGGTTGTTGATTTTAGTATCATGTTAAATCTTCAAACTCACCTTTCCACAACCAAGCCGACAGTTCGCATAAGATCTGGACTTGACACTTGCAGGTGTTTCCACAGAGACCACACAAATTCTTTATCAGCCTTAGAAACAGGAAAAAAAAAGAAGATAAAAATACATTACATGTATGCTATGCCTTTAACAGACAAAAAAGTTACACTGAGCATATTAAAAAGACAATTGCTAAAAAAAAAAACCCAACTAAACAAACACCGAAAGCATTCTAGTGAAAATTCCCTACAAGTGATTCACTGTTCTGCGAATGACAAAAACATGGTCAATGGTTCTATGGAATAAACAAGATTTTAACCACACAGAATTTTGAACACAAATACCTACAATCAACAATAAAAGAGTATACAATGTCACATATGGCAGTAGAAACTGATGATCTTCAAACAAGGCTGTCTTTTGCTATATCTGTTACTGTTATTTTTAGCAGTCAAACAATTTGTATTACATATTAAGCCTGGAATACATGCTTCGACATTAAGTTTTACCACATGCAGCTCTTTCATTTTATTTCAAAATATACACTAAATCAGTCTTCTAACACACACTCAGCTAACCTACCGTATATAAAAGCTTCTGAAAAAAACTCAAGTGAGAGCAAGAAAACAATGTTCTTTCAAAACAGACTTCAGAAAGTTTGTGAAAACTAGATGTCAGATAAAAGCTTTCCCAGATTTATATCTTCTACTACATACTAGTTGTTACTTTTCACTGGTGTACTTTTATTCCAATACCACTTTATTACTGGAAGCACCAATATTAGTTATTTTACAATATAAAACCCTATGTTCATTATATAAAAATGTCAGTGGAGAAAAATAAAAACCAGCAAAAGATGAAGACAAATAGAACAATAAGAAACACAGCCTAACACTAAACTGGGGACTAATAAGCCAAAATCATCTATTGGCAGCTAAGTCTATTCAACAGCCAAAAATCATGAGAGTGCAGCTATGTCTACTAGTTTTTTAGAATCATTTACAGTGGCAAAGACATTTATGATCAATGCATCTAATTGCTGACCTAACACTGCCAAGTCCACCACTAATCCCTAAGTGGGACATCTACACAGCTTTAAATACCTTCAGGAATGGTGACCCCCACCTTCCTGGGCAGCCTGTTGCAATGCCTCATAACCCTGTGTGTGAAGAAATTTTTTCTAATACCAAATTTAAATGTTAAAAAGAAAACAGAATTTGCATGAGAGTAATACATAATCTAAAGGGAAAACCAACACTATTATAGCTATCCATTCCTCTACTTCCTTCTTCTCCCAAGTTTCTGGAACTTAATCTAGTAAGATACCACAGATATCATTAGTTAACCAGAACTTCATTAAAATCATCTGAACAAACAGCACAGTACCTCATCTCTGCACAACTCTATCTTGATTATAAAATGAAACAGAAGACCTGAGTTCCTATCTTCAACTCCACTCTTTGGTTTCTCCACAGGTTTTCTGTTTCTCATTTCTTAAGAATAAGAACAGATTGCACTTTTAATCACAGTATTGTGAGGCCGCGACTTGAAACAGCTAAAAGCAATGGTCATCCAAGATGCAGAACAGTTCAACAGCACTACAAGTTTGACAAGCCTCACAGGAGTCAATAAAGACCACACACTGTATGATTAGAGTATAACTCAGTATCAGAAAATGCTTTTTCAGTTTTTGCTATCTTTTTCATTCATTTGCTCCTGATCAGTTTTCGCCTTCCAGGAAGGAAATTTGAACTTTACATGCAGTATCAGTACCAGTGCATAACAAATCATTCCATCATAATACTTCTCTTTCTTCAGAACAAGAAAACAGCTATCTTCAATATAAAATCAAAAGACCTCTCTAAAGCTAGCAGATTTTATGCAGATTTATAATTTTGCTGAGTCCAAATTATTTCATCAAGAGTAACACTGCAACAGCCAAACACACTGAATTCTGGATTTAGCAAACCTTAAAAATTATTATAGAAATAGAAGAGATAGTTGCACCTATTTTTCTGTGATTTAAGAGGAAAGCTTCAAAGATTTTTTTAAAAGTTCTGATATGTTTTTCCTTCAAATTTAGAAATGCACATATTTTAATTTTTAAAATTGCAGAGAAATGAGGTAGTGCTAAATGTACTAAAAAACATAAGAAAAAATGCTGAGCAAGTGAGAAGTGAGGGGATTCATGACTGTTGGTTTAAAAAATATCCTCCTCTTTCAACAACTGCAATTTCTAGTTAACATTTATTTAAATCTTTAGATGTCATCAACTATTTCAACCAAGCAAGAAATGAAACTTTATGAAGATTTGATGCATTATTAAGGTATTGCTGCAAACTCAGAAAAATTCAACCACCTACTGCAAGAAAGAACACCGCTAACAAGTCCGACTACCTTTCTGAATGTATTAGAAAACAAATAAAACAAAGGCTATGGCCACAAAGATCTTAGAATTCAAGACTATTATCAGCTTATGCAGAATGGACTACAACAGAAAGAGTTCCTACTTCATAAAAGCAGAGAAATTTCATCCAACTGCCTTGGCGAGTTGTGCACAGTTTTTAATATGTTGAACATGAAGACTGCATTTCTTGAATTTCTAAATAAAACCGAACAATTAACAAAAAACTTTGTGCTGTTCTTATAACACTTGAAAGGAATGAAATCTCTCTCTTAACCAAACCGGGTTAGCAGCGTAAGGCCTCTTTTCAAAACCCTAAGTGACCCTGCTGTGTACAAGCAATCCTAACTGGATTATGCTGCATTATGGTGCATGATCCCATTCACTTTCTGAAGAAAGGTAATACCAGAACTAAACAATAAGTCATATAAATAAGAACTCAAATGACTTTGCATCAGTATACAAGTCATTGTTCAGTGTAAATGCTAAATACAGGTTAACTTTCAGCTCAGAATTAAGACCAACAGTAAGCATCATATTAATTGGGTTACTCAGTTCAGATGAAAAGACGATTATCCACCTTTTTTTTTTTAAAGTAAAACCTCTCATTGCATGTTATCACCCTATGCACTTAAGTGTTCTAAATTTTTACGGATCTAGTCTGAGAGACAGTAAAAAGTGTGCACTTGTTTCATGTGTCCTCAAAAAAGACACCAACTCCTGAAAATGCCTTGCCATGCCACCTGAAGAGTCACAATGCCTGTACACTCTGAACCATGCATGACCTACTACTCCTTTTCAAGTAGAAACAGAATGAAAAATAAAAATGTTTTTCAGATTTGGAAAAACTGCTGCAAAAGGCTTCCAAAAAGCATTAGGATCTATAAAGAACCCAGATTCTGAGTAATTTTAACATCTAAAAAAAGCCAGGGGGAGAAAAAAAAATGAAACAAAGCCCAAGCCACAGTGGCCAAACTAAACCTCACTAAATAACTGCAATGGAAATGTGACTTCTTTTTAATTATTTAGAATGACATTAAATCAGTAATTCTTATACTCTAAAGGACACCACTTCCAGGATAAAGAAATGTTTGAACAATGACAACAGGAATAAACCACTGTATCTAACTCTAATTTTAAAATAATTTTAATTCAAATTGCTCAGCTGATCATTGATATGGAGAGCAGAACTGAAGTGCAAATAGTATTTGAGCATTATTTATATCTTAAATACAGAATTCACTATGTATTTTATACTAAACTACTTAAAATCACTAACAAATTAGTCTAAGGGCCATGAAATCATTACACCAGAGAGAAGAACGAACATAAAAAAGTCTTAATAGTATTCCACCTGCAAACACTCAAAAATCTTGAGGCAAGCAAACAGTCAAAGTTTCTGATGCTGATTTACGAGCTCATGAGCTTTGTTCAGTTCAGTTTTGTTTGCCTCTTTAACAAGTTGGATTTGCTTATAATCATGCTTCCTTAGCTTTCCCTTTTACTGTCCTGTATACAAGACTGGGGGAGTAGCTGCTGGGTTTTCTGCTTATATTTTTATATATTAGAAGAGCTGAGACACTCGGCTTCTCTATGACTGCAAGAAGCACTATCAAATACCATGAGATTCTGTACAAGCGGCAGTGTCTGCTTATTGTCCTACCCTGCAGGCTCCTATACAGTTCAATTCCCAGCTAGGAAATGGCTTGAGGCATCACAAGAACACCGAACAGCACACAACTTTCAGACACTTAGTTCTACACTTACTTCTAAGCATGGCATTCCTCTATCACAAAAAAAAACCAACAAAAAGAAAAACTACATTAATACATACTGATTTTTTCTAAATGAACAATATGTATATATGTACAATACAGGAAGAGGGAAATGTTCACATCTCTTCCATAATTTTTGCTAAGTATCCAGCATGTATTGACTCTCTGGCAACCACCTTTCTACCTAAACCTTGCCAAACCTCCCAGAAACTGACCTTTTGATAAGATAAATATAAAATACAAAGTTTCAATGAGCATTCCTAATGAGAAGACAAACACTTAGGTACAAACAATCTTTTTTAACTGAATAAGCAGTTTGGTTTAACCTCTAATCAGCTATAAATATTGCACAAGCAGACTATGTTAAAAGTTGTCCAAGGAAGAGTAAAATCAGCTCCAAATTGTGCTCATGTCAGTGAAATTGACACTCCTGAGTTCCACAACATTTCTGTCTATGCTAAAAGAACAGTGACGAAACAAGATTTAAAAACTCATACTAACTGGAAAATTAAAAAAAAAAAAAAAAATCTTTCTTGCAGTAAGGAATACTGAATGTGCACCAAACAAACTTCAAAGGAACAGCTACACAGAACAGGCTAAGTATAAAAGAAATAACAACAACCACCACAAAATACAAACAAAAGCCTTTACAATCCTACAGAAATAAGTTAAAAGTCACCAGAATTTCCAAAACTGCAAACCAGTGCTATTTCAATACATGTTCTTTATTTTTCATGATGACAGGAACTGGCATTAAAAGTTATTACAGCAATCTGTGAAGAAGCACACACAGAACTATAAAGCAATATTGTAATTACATCACCAGATATTCTAATTTAAATCATGAAAAGCTATGTACTTGATAGGTACTTGAATTTTTGTAAAGGTACACAAAACTAAGTAGCATAGTCCA